GCTCCAACACCATTAGAGGAAAGATCAATTTTTACCTATCTGTTGTTTTCAAAGAGTGTGTGTGTGTATATATGTGTGTGTGTATAAAAACATGAAGAGAATATTTTAAGCCTGTTATGTGTAATAAAGAGGTCTATATATATACACACACACACACACACACACAGACACAGACACAGACACACACATACGTATGCACATATATATTTATTTTGGTAAAAGTTTTTGCAGGTAATCCTTAAAACCATTTTTACAAAGGAAATTCAGAATGAGATAGGGACTTGCTTATGGTAAAGGAATATGGTTGACTGTATCCATATATTTCTGCCATTCTAGCTTGAAAACAGTTTCCCTGGGTGTTCATTTTTAAGCACAGTTCGTATGTTTTGCTTGCTTCCTGTGCATGTATGTCTGCATGAAACTTCCAATTTTCCAAGTATTTTGCAAATATTTTCTTTGGCTTGTCAGAATTTACAATTGTAGTTGTAAGAATATTGGAGTTAGAGCTGGTACAGTTTTGTGATGATGTTTGACCAAATCAAAAAGCTGTTCAATCGGAAGACCAAAGGGCAGTCACAGGAAAGGTAAAAGCAAACAAAGAGAAGGTTAATAAGGGGAAAAGTTCCTTGACTGTCAAATTGTCAGGTACTGCCGTAGTTCTACTGGAGTAAAGTCAACACAGGTCTATTTATTCCCTTTGATATTAGACTCATCCTAATGTAATAATGAGGAAAGTGTACCAGTGGATATTTTGTTTTGTAGTAGTGGTTATCTTGTAGATAAAATATGCTGTAGTCCAGCTACACTGATGTCAATATAGTCTCAATAGTAAGTATCTATCTGGAAACTACTGTGTTTGAAATAGGATGGGCTAGAAGTTTGGATTTTAAGCATTTTGAACTGTGATAACTCATACCAACAAGAATTTGCATTTTTATAATTTACAAATGTATGCTTTTTATTTTCACAGATGGAACCTTTCTTTAATTTTTCTAGTATTAAGTTAGTTAATTGACAGCATTTTGATGGAATCTCCTTTTCAGTAAAATCTGTTGCTCTGGAATTTGACACTATTGGCAAATTAGTGTATTTTATATGTATGTGATCCTCTCTTATGTTTGCTTTTTGTAATGCTTGGCACAGCAAAATGTAGCAAGGAGGCGTTGGGGCTTGCTTAGGAGGCAATCAAAGAAAGGTATGAAGAGTTTATTAAAAACAAAGAGGCATACTGACAGTTGCATCTTTATTTCATATATTCCATTAATTTAGGAAACATGCTGTTATTTAGTTACTTAGGTTTGTACCTAAGAGTGCCCAAATGGCAATAGGTCTGAAGGATGTTTATAAAGACTTTCTTCACAAAAAGCTTAACCTTTCCCTTCAGAAGCTGGTATTCTCACAGCTGCTCTTGTCCTAATCATATTGGGTTTACTGCTACCAGGTTTTTTCCAGGGGTACAACACACTTTAGTTGCCATAGCATAGCATATTTGATGATTAAGAAGTATTTCTGTTAAGAATTGTACCACTATTGTGCTGTGATTTCCTTTGGGTTCTGAGGTACAATTTAAGGATTTGCGTTTGATCTGTTAGGTGTTAAATAGTTTTGGTCTTGTCTGCTAAAGCAGATAAGAATTTATCGTGCGATTCTCTGCAGTGCCCTATGGATTAAAGTACACTCTCTTTCTGGGCTTCTGTCCCTCATACCGTCTTGCCTTTGAAAAGGATTGTGAATCCGAAGACTTTATTTATATGGAATAACATTTTCTTGTCTTATGTTGATAATATTGATAATCTGTAATGTTGTCTTCAGTGCACAAAGTTCTTCAAAAAACAGGCTTGATCCTTATCTCAAGCGTTGCTTGATTTCATTGCATTTGGTTATAAAAAACACAGAAGTCAGAAAGTGCTGTTAGGCCCTTCCTTCTGTCAGTAGGTTTACTAATAATTCTTGTGTTGTCTTTGCATCTACTTGAATGCTACCATTCTGGGGCTGTCTTCTAGTGATTGGGTTTGCCGTTTTATGTTCCTGGTCTGCCCTCTGCTCCACCTGTATTGAAGTGTTAGTGCTTAAAAACAAACAAACAAAACCACTCAGCGCTGTCAGTGGACAATTTTATTTTGTCTTGAGCTTTATGTAATTTTATTTTTTGCACCTTCTGACAACTTTTACTATTTTTCTAATCTCTAGGTTTAGATTTCTGCACTGTTTTGTGTTACGTAGTGTGAATGTTCTGGGCTTCAAGGGTTTTTTTGTTTTCTGTTTGTTTTTCAAGCCCTGCATACTACAGAAATAAATGTTTCTGTCTCAGTGATGTAGTTTTAATGAATTGTCTGTTCTTACAGATTCTATTTAGAAAGTGAGAAGTGTAACACTTTTGAAGATGATTATTTGGCCTTCCTTTGAACAGATGTCAAATACTTGATTCGTTGAATGTATTTCAGTCTCCTTGTACATTTAACTCTCAATGGTTTCTGTATAGAGTGAAGCTGAAGTTCATTTAGAGAAAATGTGTTTTGCAAAACCTGTAGCTTTTGATTTTGGATCCTGTGTAACAAATTGTGCCCAATTATGGGCTCCCCAGTACAGGAGAGACGTGGCACTACTGGAGAGAGTCCAGCGGAGGGCTACAAAGATGATGAGGGGACTGGAGCACCTCTGCTCTGAAGAAAGGCTGAGAGAGCTGGGCCTGTTCAGCCTGGAGAAGAGAAGACTGAAGGGAGATCTAATCAATATGTACAAGTATCTGAAGGGAGGGTGTCCAGAGGATGGGGCCAGCCTCCTCTCCGTGGTGCCCAGCGACAGGACAAGGGGCAATGGGCACAAACGGAAACACAGGCAGTTCTATCTGAACCTGAGGAGAAACTTCTTGACTGTGAGGGTGACAGAGCGCTGGCACAGGTTGCCCAGAGAAGTTGTGGAGTCTCCTTCCTTGGAGATATTCCAAACCCGTCTGGACGTGATCCTGTGCAATGTGCTGTAGAAGACCCTGTCTGAGCAGGGGGGTTGCCCTAGATGATCTCCTTATGTCCCTTCCAAGCTTGGCCATTCTGTGATTCTGTGAAATATTGCTAGTAGATTCCAAGTTATATGATACCAATTGTTATCTTGGTTTCTTTCAGCTAATCTCATTTCAATTTCATAATTGTTTTTGTCATTTTTAGTTTCAAGCAGCCAGATTTCAAACAGCACATTTTCAGAGAATTATCTATAATTTAGCTTTCAAACGACATCTAAAGCATTCATGTTTAACTAGCAGCTGAAGGAGATGGCTGCTTGCAAGTTGTTAGAACTGAAGTGAAAAGAAACGAGCCAAGTTGGCAACAAAAACAGTGTAATTTGTAATGCAACTCAAATGATTAACTTCTCAGTCAAGGAATGCTGTAGGTGACCTGTATAGGAGCTTGAACATGAAGTGAAAGCTTTATATTTGACTGGTGGTCCTTGTCCCATGACCTGAATTTTTTTAATCCTTACTATTTGTCAGTTACATAATCTGTGATTTTGTAAAACATGATTTGTGCTATTGCCTTATATTTTTTGTTACTTTCATTCTTTATTTACAGCGTACTTTGTATGCAATTGTTAAAAATAGCCATACAGATTATTTCTTCCATGGATCTCCAGGTGGCTTACAAATAAAATGAGAAACAGTCGATGAGACAAATGAGGAAGATGAAGACTAGTCAGTTCAGTAACAGTATTTCAATGTATTGTGAGATTCTTTTAAAAAAAAAAAAAAGACAACAGCAAAAAAACCTGTTCTGGTGTGCTGTCTATTATAGACCTGTCTGTGGTATTCTGTTTCCTTACCTGAAACATATCTTCAACAGTCTTTACCACAACTTTATACATAACCTGTCTAGCAATATCATTATGTGGTTTTTAAGGTATAGCTCTCATATTTTAGATCACAACAAGGAGTTAGCCTACATGAGTAGGATCAAATGACTGCAACAGCTCATCTTACCTTAGTAATGTAAAACACTTAAAATATTAATTTGGTATTCAACATAAATGTTCACTTGACTATGACTATCGTAATTGCTGCATGATTTGAAGAGTAGCTGCATTTTTTCAATTTTCTTTTTAGAAACATTATAGGTAAAGAATGCTTAAAAATTGCAATTTTAATTCTGAATTCAGATTATTCTGTTTTGCGGTCTATATGCGGTGTACATATCATCATTTAGAACACAAGGCAAAGTTGTTGTCATTCATACTGTAAAGCTGGAAGTTTTTTTTCTTAAATGGAGGAGGGATCATAACATATTAAAGAGGGAATTGTGGAAAGATAAGAGCTAGTTTATCTTCTCACGCCCTCCCCCACCCCTGGGTAAATCACTTTTTTACAGATTTCCAGAAACTGCACTATTAGGTCTGTTGAATGTAATTTCAAAAAAAAAAAAAAAAAAAGAACCTTACTGTACCTTACTGTAACTGTATTTTCATTTAATGTACAATAAAAATTTGTACCTGTAAGGGAATTAAGTTATTAAACTCTGATAATTACTTCGAAATTGCCTTTCTATTAGCCAGCTTGGGAATTGCTTGGTTACTTTGACATAATTCAGTATGAGACAACTATTTGTTCCCAGCTTTCAAGGGGAGGTTGGTAGCCCACGCTTAGCTCTGTTAGCAGTACCTGAGCTGGACGTTTTACCATGGAGTAGCCTAAAGGCTCAGCAATGTTAAGGCACAAGCAAAACTCTAAATAAATTAACCTAATCGGCTAGTGAGCGGATGCAAAACCTTTCTTCATCTTCCTTATCTTGCATGAAGTGCTACTGGCATTCTACAGAACTGCTGTCAAATAGTGTAGCCTTCATCTGAATGATTGGAGAAACAGATGAGACTTCACAATAAATGTTTGTAGATCAATTTGAATAAATATGTAATAAGGGCAAGTATTAAAACTAACTCTGAGTGTTCACCATTATCACAGACTGGTATCATTGGGTTGAAGAGAAGTAATGTAACTTGTTAAATTTTATATTTAGTCACAACCTTAAGTTCAAACTCGCTTTTTGTCTATTACTAGGAAAATCAAGGGATTCCCAGTCAGCCAGAATGGAATCTGAAATTGTGCCAAAAGTTACCAAAATGACAGTGTCTGGGAAGAAACAATCTATGGGATTTGAAGTTCCATGGTAAGCCAAGGCCTCATACATCAAGGTACATCAGCAGCTCTTCTTTCAGACTGATGCACCTGTAGCAAGTTTTCTTCTTCTTTTTTTCTATTTTTACAGCAGTTTTAGTGTCACTCTCCAGAGCTAACCATCTCAGCTTCTTGTTTGACTCATAATTACTTTCAGAAGATGGTACCTCACGTTTTGAGTTTAACAAATCCTTTCACTATGAATAGTGCAGAAAGATATCAGCTAGTCAGATTGTTTAAACATCCGCTTCATAGAATACTGAACTTTCTTGGGGTTCGTTTATTTTAAATTTAGTTCTCTAAGTGGAATTATGAAATCAATAAATCTTAACTGTAATTGCTTGTTCTTCAAAGGAAGTAATACATTTAAGAATAATTTACGGGGAAAATGATCACTTAAGGCTAAATTTTGCTTTCCTCTACAGCTTTTATTAACTTTAACAGGTGTCCAGGGTAAAACTGTTGTAGAGAAGAAATTGATCCTCCCTATGCTTTGGCTAAAATAGGATGGTTGGGGGAAAATTAGAAATACTACTCAACAGTTCCAAGTTTATGGTGTATCTTGTAAGAGGATAAGAAAAGACATGCTAGATGAGGGTCTACCTTCACCAGTAGCCAACAGTGAGTGGTTAGAGAAATAAAAAAGGACAGCTCAAGAGTGCTGGGGATACATTCTGTAAAACACCATTACATGAGGCATTCTGTGGCTCATACACCCTTTTTCTTCTGGATTAGACTGTTTCTACTCATAACAGCTAATGGATTTTTCTTACTTGGATGTGCTTCTTTGTTTTGAACCCAGTCTTGTAATAGCCGGCATGTCTGTGTCAAAATTCCAGAGTTCATCCACAGAGAAAAGATTAGCAAGCATAGACAGTGCATACTTCCCCATCTAGTCCCACAATAGTTGCAGTTATGATCTGGAAAGCATTTTTAGGAGTAAGAGGGTTTAGTGGTCTTTATTTTACTGTGTTTTGTGCATCCTTGATGAAGCTTTGTGGAAGGTAAGCAGTTATATCTACTTAGTATCTAAGTACATTTAATAGGTGTGAGGCTGATGTTTATTTCCTTAAACCTGCTAAATGCAATTGCTGAATGAAAGTGATGTCTCTTAGCTATTTAGATGCAATAAACTCCAAATGAGAAGTTCCTCAGCCTTTCAGAATCTGCCTTCCGTGCTATTTGAGAGTTGTGGTGTGTAAGAGGGAACGTAGATTCCCCGTTCTCTTCCTTCCATTAGTGACTCTGGAAGGGACAACAGGACTTGATCACTAAATTCCTGAAATTTCATCCCTAATGTTTCTGTTAAATCTTTTATAAGGTGGAGTTTATCACGGGGTTCTCCGTGGAATAAAAATATTTGAATAAAAGTTCATAAAAAGGAATCTCAGATGAGCGAAAAGGATGTGTAGGCTAGGCCTTCAAAAGTGCAGTGAGGATGGTAGTGATAGAATTTTTTGGCTGTATTAATCACCATTTAAAAATATTAAAAAAAAAAAAAATTGCATCTTGTGTATATGTGCCTACTCCTTAGGGAAGGAGGAAGTAAGAAGAATACTTCCCCATCTGAAGGCTATTGTAATTCCCAGATAGACTAGGGTGATAACTTAGTCTTTGAGAAAAATGGTTGGTTCTAACACGATTCTCAGTCACTCTGCTTCTCTTCAGGGACCCTGTCGTATAGTTCACATTGTGCTTGCTTCCATTTTAGTGACATATGGTTTTCTGTGACAGACAAGATTAACTCTTGAGGACCTGCTAGTATTCGCTCTGAGTATGAATCCTCATTGTTGTAAAGGTAGCTAGACTCCCTTAGTGCTATTGCCAAGCCCCTGTTGCTCTAGAAATTGGATGAACATAGCAGCAGTCCTTATCCTATACAATTTTCAGTTGGAATAGATAAAATAGGGAAAAAGTACAGGAGGAGGGTGGTGTGACGTGAACAGCATGATGATAGCCAATGTCATGTTAGCCACATGCGGGAGTGGATTTAGAGGGGTAAGATGAGTGGAAAATTATGGAAGAGGAGTTGTCATGGGAGTTGATGTTAGCTTCAGGCTAGGTGGAAATGAAGTGGGACAGTTTGTAAAAGAAGAATATGAGATTCATGGGCAATGTTAATGCTAGGTCACTGTTTTAAAAACAAAAATAAACCTTCTTTGACTAGCTGTACGATCTGTACAATTCAATCTTGTAATGAGGCATGACCCTTCCTTTTGTGGATCTTACTTAAAATGTGAATGGATTATTAGGTGTCATGAATTGCTGTGAGCATTGATTGCCTTTGATGCCGATGCTGGATATCCTTAATAGGGTTGTCTATGGAAAATGTGGTTTGTTCGACTCTGACAAACTGTTTTTCTGATACTCTAGCAAAATTAATGACCAGGCTTCTTCTTCCTGTTTAGTCATGAAGGAAGACAGGAAAAGATATTAGCAAAAAATGGTGATTATTTTAACCAGCCTGACCAATATTGTGGAATTAATAATTTTGAAAGGGGAAATAAATGTAGACATTTCTGTAATGACTGTAAGTACTCCGAAAGAGTCAGTTGTATAAAAATAATTCTCTAAGCATGCAGACTAGAAGCTTGAAAATAATGTTTAAAAGCTAAGTTATGCAGTTAGTCTTCAGCAGATAAACTTTTCAGGTTCTTCTTTGAATGCATGCTAGCGTGAACTGCAGTGAGCACACTCGTGTGAGGATGAGTGACTTTTAACATGTCTTTTAACAGGATATGCTTTATTCCTCTGTCTCCTGGTGCTCCCAGAAAATGGTGATGTAACCATAATACTCTACTGAATTTACTCTTATCCTTGTCAGCAAGACAGAACGTAGGAAGTGTCTGATATGGCAGTTCTTGTTCTGACAAAGTCTTGGTCGTTGCCAGACTTTTGTATGTCTTTTCTGATTTGCTAACAAAAAGCAACGGTAAGCTTTTTTGTCCTCTTGTGACTGAGTAGCTGGTGGTCAAGCTTTCTTGGTACCTGACCTCAAAGCGCATACAAGGTGCTTAATAATTCTGTCTTTTCAGAGAAGTCAGGAGTTGATGAATTCAGTGGCAGTGCAGCAGCAGCTAGCAGTGACTTGGCAGACGTGCTAGGCACAAATGCTGGCTAATAGAACATGCTCACTAAGACAGTGGAGCTTGGCAGTTCCATTGAGTTCTCTTATAAAGAAAAAAGTTGATTAGGAAGTACAGTAGAAACATAGTAGGTACTAGCATGCTCTCCTGTATGCTCTATCTTCTGGCAAATTTTTCAGTAGCATTGAGTAATTTTGAAAAATCTTAGTGGAAAAGATTTACTGAAAACTATTTTCAATGTCATTCATTTTTCACCAACTCTTGAAGATGAAGCTCCTTAACATCCTTTTGAACTTCTCTGACTTGTTACCAAGCTATTCAATAAATTACTCATCTGGTTGCCATGAGGGTTACATAACTGTCAGGGTCTTATTGCTAGATCTCTCTATGTATCCTTTTGCGAGACCTGAATTGTGTGTTTCACCAGCCAGTTTTCCTATCTAGAAGAGAGATGAATTGTACTCTCTAGAAGAGAGTACAATTGTATAATTGTACTTACCAGTACACTCCCTCTCTTTCCCCTAATATGGCTCACAAAAAAGTTGAATCGTCTCATCAGAGAGGATCTATGAATAGGTCATATATTCTCTCCATAATGTTGATGTTTCTGCTGTGAAACAGCAAGTCTTGCTTTATCATGGCACAGACTTTTTTTAGGCTTCCAAAATGAGGTAGTACTTGAAACCTGGGAAACTCTAAATGGAGCAATGCAGCTTTTCAGATGTTGTACCCTTGAAATAGTGGTGAGGCCTAATATTATGATTGCTAGACTTAGGTTTCAGTCATTGTTTCACTAGTGTATCTAGCACTTTTTCTTTGCGTTGCCCAAAATAGAAACTACTTGGCAGCCGTAAATGGTGGTATTCACAATAAAAGTTACTCCCAAGTGAGAGAACAGTTACTTTATCTGGCAATAACCTTGATTCGCAGAGATGCTGTAATCTGTGTGGATTCTGCAACTCCACATCCGTCCTGCTTTTTGGAATCCTTATTGAAGCATACTTTGACTTGCAAGAAAATCTAAGACTAGGAAAAAATCATTACCTATCCAAGCAAATAGAATTTAGAAGCTTACTTATGGTCTATCTTTCAAGATAGCTTTTTGTCTTTTGAAAGGCTTGATGTGGCAGTCTTTGAATGGGTTTTAGAAAGCTGTAGAAACCATGAGTTAGGTTTTTGGTTTACATTAATTCCAGTTTCATTGAAAAGGAGTGAGAACTTGATTACCTACTACAAGGGCTGTTTTGATATCACTATAGAAATACAAATATCATTATACAAATACTTCTTTCTAGAACTCAAAATATCAGAATTTCAAGGAAAAACTTTTGATACCAGTGTAAAATATTGTATCTGCATTATGGTATGACTTTCGCATATTAGCAGTAGTCATAATACTTCAGTGTGAAAGTGACAGATGTTATACTAACACTGAACTGAAATTTATCTGACAAAAGTGACTTGGAAGAACGGAAGAGAGTCTTAATCTTGATAGAAGATGTCTAATGCAAATAAACTGTAAATACATATGACTCTCAATATGTGGCTTCAGGCCAAACTGGTCTAGTGTATTTTATATCATTCAGATGCTTTTAAATATGTTGTTAGAATATGTAGAAAAGTTTGTCACTGCAGTTCTGTGCATATTTGCTTTCTGTTACCTTGATTGTTTTCAGTCAGTTTCTATGAAATAAAATGCCTCTAAAGAGATACTGGAGAAGATAATTCTTGCACAATTCCAGAATAGGTTTTCAGCTTAAACTTAATACGCTGTTTAAAGAAGTTTAAAACTAGAGACTTATGTTCATTATAATAGGAAGGTACTTAAGTTTTCTGTAAAAGCAAAAATAACTAATTCTTTTTGTGGAATGGTTCATGTGTTATTACATCTACAGTGATGATGAGCCATTAATTTTTGGAGTATAGGAAATAAAATGTAACTTCTTTAAAGGGAATTTACTTTGTCTACTGGAGCTTGTCTAGGGCTGTATTTGATGATGCAATAAGGCTGCTTTCCTAGCATCAATGATTTTGTAACTCAGTGCAGTCATTTTGATATCAACTAATTCATTCCTTCAAATGATTTTGAAAGTGTTGATAGGTTTACCTTTTGTGAATGGATTTTATCTAGCGTTGTCTATTGATTGTGCAGAACCAGCATGGTTGGCACAAACTAAGCTATATGCTTTACTAATTTGGGAGAGATGAGTTTTGTATCCAACCTTGATGAAAGAGCCAGTCTTGGGTTGTGGAACTGCAGTCCAAAAACAGATACTCGCATTTCTGCTTTGGGGTCTTGCTGACAGTCAAGCAAAAGCTTGACTCTGGGTCTTATGAGAAGGGTGGAGCAGTCAGCAACGCATCATGCTTCTACAGTACTAAATATTTAGATAGGCTCTGAAATTGAGGAAAAAAATGAGACCTATTAAATCACCAGCGTTGCTTACTGCTGCAATAACGGGCTAATTTTGTATTTGGTCTGACAGTTTCCTAGGTTTTAAGTTTTCAGATCATAACAATTAAATTTCTTTGTTTGTTAGACTAACGTGCTTGAGCTGTATTGTTTCTTGAAGCATGTGTAATGGGAAGGGACCAAAACAAAGGAAATACTCCTACTAGGACTGAAACAGATAGAAAATGAGAAGTAATGTTTCATAATGTTATCAAGTAAAAGCAGAGATGTTATGACATGAAATTCTGAAGTATCAAAATAAGTAGCTTTGATTATAAAAGCTAGAGAGGAAAACTGGGAAGTAAACTCTGGTAAGTTAATGAAAAGTGGAGGCAGAAAAATTCTCTGTGGACAGAAGACAATTCTGTTTCCTTTTGTAGCACTTAAGTAAGAGGCTGCTTGAATGAGTTTCATGGAAAGAAGGCCATAGCACAGTGGTGCTGCAGTTGGAAGGGATTTCCAATTTTCCAAGGAAGGAACCTCCTCTTATTGGAAAAAGTTTTAGATATTATATTTTGTAGGGATTCTCAAAATACTGTAATGGTCAATGGTTTGTATATTTAAGTGTGCTATAGCATAATGTTGTTATGCCAGTAATGACTACTTCTGTTCCTGTCTTGCTGTGTACATTAATGCCTTACCTTGGAGGTCTGGCAGCCAGCAAGAAAGCTTTTCCTCTGTGGAGATGTTGGAGATGTTTGCTTTTAATGGTCACCTTTGCCACAACAGATGAACAGTTGTATCACATGTCTATTCTCAGAACGTTTTTGTGAATTAGGAAAATACCCTCATTTAGAAATCAGAGGGACAGAGTGAGAGGGAGTGTAAGAGAATAATATGTTTAGGATTATTCGGTGTTAGGATTAGTACAGAAGATCTGTGGTAGAATGAGGTGGAAGTGGAGATGATTTGGGAAATCCAAATCTCCTTAGTCCTAGATGCCTTATTACTTTATGCATAAAAGAAATTTTCTGTCCTGATGAGCATAACATGCCTGTTATAGCTCTGTATAAACACTGCACCCTAAATTGCAACGCAGATATGCTTAGTATCTATTCTTTATACTATATTGCTGGTGTTCTCACAATAGAACATCACCACATTCAGCTGCATTACTTCTAGGGTAAATGAAGGCTGTTTTAGGATTGATATTTCCAAGTTGATATGGGCCTCTTACTTCAGAGAGGACCAGTTCTCTGTAGCTGTTCTTTACAACTATCCTTTTCCCCTGTTAGAAGAAGGGTCTGTGAGAAGCTCTTGTTTATCTGAATTTCATGTATTATACAGGATTCTTTCTTATCTTGCTTTTGTACACAGCACTTTTCAGACAAAAGTTCAGAGCCTGGTACCTGTGTAGTTTGTGTGCAGTCGCTTATCATTTGCACCTTAATAGGCTTGTTGTTACTTATGAAATACTTTCTGTCTGGGACTTTCATGATAGTAGAGAGAAAACTCCCCTTTTTTTCTCCTGTATTTGTTCAGCTTCTGTGACATTTCTATTCTGTATGTTTTCTTTGTTTTTCCTAGTGGTATTACTGAAGAAAATGGCCACGTTAACACATCTCAGAAAGTACTGTTAACTGAAGATGCCAGTGTAACTTCTGGGGTACCTGAGACAGCCTCAAAATCTGCTCTTTCACCCCAAGTAGTGCAAGTTTCAGAAGAGCAAAATGTGGTGCCTACTCCAGTGAAAAAGTCAAGCAAGACAAAACCACAGATAGATGTGAAAGCAGAGCTGGAGAAGCGACAAGGAGGAAAGCAACTGCTTAATTTGGTGGTAATAGGTAATACTGTTAATTACGTAATTACATTTTAGGCAAGTGTAGGGATTAAAAACTGTTGATTGAATCTGGAAGTGATACAAAACTGTCTTCTGTTTAGGGAAGAGAGATCTCATACTGTTCTCAAGCACGTCTACTTGACCATTATTCTTTGGAGAGAGTCACATTCAGACTTCATTGAGTGGAATATGAGATTGAGTCTTGAAAGTAGAGTAAAATGCAATTTGAGTTGGTTTCATTCTTGCAACTTTTTTTTAGTATGAATTTGGAGGTGTATGTGACTGTCACACTGATTGCCTATTTCAATAAACCATCTCTCTGCATCTCTACCTTATATGATTATAAAATTCTGTGGTTTGAATAAGCACTTTTAGTACATGTGATTTTCAGTATATTTCAGGTCGCACTCTGTCTAAAATCTGTAAATTAGTAAGATTAATACAATGTTGTTTCCCTCCTTAGGACATGTTGATGCAGGTAAAAGTACTTTAATGGGTCATCTGCTCTACCTTTTGGGAAATGTGAACAAAAGAACTATGCACAAGTATGAGCAGGAATCTAAGAAGGCTGGCAAAGCTTCATTTGCCTATGCATGGGTCTTGGATGAAACTGGGGAAGAGAGAGAAAGGTAAAAATATTACCTTTTAATGGAAGAAAATTTTTTTTTTTGAAAGAAGAGCATTTGTTAGTAAATATAATTCTACTAATCATGCTTTGGTAGAAGTATGCTAAATGTTTAATTATATTTGCTTTATTACTTATTAGCAAATATTTTAATATTAATGTATATAAGCATATATTATCCAAAAAAGTAGTATCCTGGTTTGGTTATAAGAATGTAATTCAGAAGTTGAGTATTTCTCTGAATGTTTCTGTGCTGGAGACTGCAGTGTAGCGCTGCAAAATAGAATACTTCCAGTACCCAGGTTAGTACATTTAAAGCTGTCTTACTGATTCATTGCTGCCAAGCTTCTTTCTGGTGGATTATCTCTCTATTTAAAAAAAAATAAAAATAAAAATACTTGGTTACATCCTTTGTATGAGGAGTGTCAGGATTGTAAACTGAGCACTGTGAAATTTGGATTTGTCACGTGTGACTTACATTACATTAAATATCAAATCTATTCCTAATAAATTAACTATATTGGTACTCTTTGATCACTGCCTGTAACTTATTCACTTGAAATAGCAAATTTAAAATTAACTTGTATCATACTGAAGAAGTATATAAGGGGGGATGCAGTGAAGCTCTTTCAAAAAAATGCTCTAGGACTTTTAAGAAAATCATATATACTTACAGACATGACATTCTTTGTTCACAAAATAATAAAAAACCACACACATTTTCTTCTGTCTTACCATCGTATTTCTAATTCTTTATCTTGTGTATGTTTTGTGTATGTTTGCCATAGGGAAAAATATAATTTTTTTACAATCTCTCATCACCCACATTTTCATAGCATATAAGCTCTCTGGTTGCAAAGATAACCTTGGCAATGTCAAGTGATGGTGAAGAACATGGAGTGAGGCAGTGCCTGTAGAGAGTGTAACTTTTTACTGCTGCTTTTAAAGGCAGATGCAATTTTGCAGAGTCCATGTTTATAACTAAACTTTTGCATGTGCCATTACTTTCATTTATGCCATGAACATACAAACCTGTGTTTGCAGAGCAAGGGGGAGAACAATCCAGAAGCAACTAAACACAAAAATTTAGGAGTGGCCTTACATCAAGATAAGGCTTTATGGTATTGCAGTAGTAGTGTTGTTGTAACCACATAGTCTAAGGATGTTAAAGAGGAAAAACTGATGGGGAGATGTAACTATTTTTATTATACCAGTAGATGTAGCTTGGTGTAAAATGGACAAGATTTGAAGTTCAGTTCTTTTCACAGGTCTGAAATAGAATAATTAAGCACCCAATTAAGTACATGTTATTTTATTAACACAAGCTACCTGTGATAAGGTGTAGTTAATATGTGAAACCAGCGACAGACAAATACTTAGTGCTTGTGGGGAAAAAAAAAATATTAACAGAAGGTAAGCTTTGTGAAAAATTGTAATGAGCATGAAATTATTATCCCTTAGGGACTTTTTAGTATCCAAAGGAGTTACGCGTTTAGGTACCCCACCTTTCTTCTGAAGATAATTTGTAATTATTAAGGAAAAAAGGATTCTGAATTTATATTTTTGCTTGTTTTTATTTTCTCCTTACTGGAATTTTGTATAAAGTTTTCTGGAACCATCTGTAAATGTTTCTTGTCATTTGAAGTGGAATATTTTAAGTGTCTATGGTAAAATGAAAAGTTTTGCACCTTAAAAGTGCCTGCTTTTCTTCACTGGCTATAAATGGAGATGCAGAAGACTAGCTCAGATACAGACACGTGCATGATAGATGTCTGCATTTGATCAGGTGAATCTATACTTTGTGCCACGCAGAAAACATGGTTGTTAGTGTGATGTGGAACTGAGTCAAAAAGCTGTGATCCCTTCTTGAAAATAAGTAGTTTTAAACGTGGATCTTTGCAAATATTGTTACCTTATTCCTGTAGTCCCCTACCTTCTGTTTTTATTTATTCTTGGCTATGCTTCTGCTACTGCATGGTGCCTATTTCTGAGGAACAAAGTATTAAAAGTAAAAGTAATAATGATTCAAAAACTCAGCAAAGTTTTCTGTTCATATTCTTGCTGTGCTTGTGCACCATAGTCCATTGGTGTGGAGTTAGTATTGTGAATTCTAGGTGTTTGTTTCCTTCCTAGTTAGAATCACCCAAAGATAACTCTAGAAGTCTACTTCTCATGCAAGTAGATTTCTTTCAATTTCTTGGTGCAGCCCAAATGAGATTAAATCTGTAATGCGTGTGATTTTGTGACTGCATTACCTTTCTTTGCATTTCTATGAAGCTTTCAGAACAGTTGTAATGGTATGTTACATGTGTGTTTTATTTAAGGGGAGTAACAATGGATGTGGGTATGACCAAATTTGAGACAAAGACTAAAGTAATTACGTTGATGGATGCTCCAGGCCATAAAGACTTCATTCCAAATATGATCACAGGAGCTGCACAGGTAGATATGTTCTAAAACTCTTTTTACAATAGCTTTATTATAACTCTCTTTACAATAGCTTTATTATGTGTAACTTTTAAAAAAACAAAAAAAAAAAACCCGAAAACCAACAGTTTTCTTCTTCCTTTTAAATCTAAGATGAAATAGAATCATTGATGTCACTAACATAGCTTTGAAGTTTTCATGAGTTTTTAGAAAAACTTTTTTTTTTTTAACTTTTTAAAGGCAATCACTTCTCTTTTTTTGGTAAGTTAGCTTCTTGGTGGAGAGTTTCACACTTACTAGGGAAGTAATTTGAATACTAAGTTACAGTTAGATAAATCAAAGAGTTGAGTTCTTAAAGCTATTCAAATGTGGTAGTTCTACTCAACAAGAAGTTCTGTGAAAATTTTTTTTAAGTAGAGATTTTAAGTGGCTTTCAACTTAAAGGAAAAAAGGTTGGCCTAGGTCAAACACAAGACTTTCTCAGATTTAAGCAAGTATTTTGTATGGGGTTGACTACAAATCATGTAGATGCAGCTCATACAGAGTGCATATATATTCCTCAATAGGGCATATGCAGTGACTACGTGCCCCTTTTGCTTTGGGAACTATGGGTAAAGTCTACAGGACTGGGCACTATCTACTGAATTCACTATGACGTTTACCATCCTCATGTAGGTCACTTATATAATTTATGCAGAAAATGAATCAAATGGAGAGAGTAATCCATCTGGTTACATGAAATAAAATGAGCAATATCTTTCCCATTTAAAAAGGCACCCTTTTTTAAAGAGTGAAATTGATTCTCAGAAGTAGAAAGACTGGTGTAATGAAAGATTTTCCTCCCTCCCCCACGGTAAGCTACTGCTTAGAGGTGTTTTTTTGTGTGTGCTGTTATCACAGTCTCAAATGAGAGTTTTATCTTAAGAGCTCAATATGCCTTGCAGAGGTGGATGAGTATTGTTATCAGTTTTACAGATAGAGAAATTATGCTATAGGAAGACCAATTTGCCCAAAATTGTACTCTAGGTCTGTAGCGGAGCCTGGGTAAGAATTCAAGATCTCGTGGCTCAGTGGTTAGGCCACAGAAGAGTCAGAGGTTCTCAAATTGTGGTGTAGGGCTTGTATAATCATCTACACTGTGAAGCATATGTTACAGGAAGCTCATGATTTTTTTAATTAGAAGTGGATTTCTAGTTTCAGAACACTGGAAAATGTTGACTCTGACATACTGTTTTCATTACAATTTTAATTCAAACTGATTTGTCTTTTGAAGTAAGTAATACAGAGAGCATGCGTAAGAAAAGATCTGCCAGCAGTTGTATCAGCTCAACAGAAGATGAGGCTGGCCAAATAGGACTTGTCGTATCTCTGTTTTCCCTCAATTCTCAGGATTGCGAAGGGCCAGTCTATTCTGATATCTGTTAGGGGAATCAGTGGAGCTTTGCAAGTCCTCTGATGCCTATTAGAGTAGCCTGAGCACTCTGAGGAAAGGGGTGGAAGAAAGCAAACGTGAAAATGACCCTGATGCCTTTGTATCAGTGGGAATTCCACCACTGCAAGGTGAATCCCCAACTGCTGTTATACAAAATGCAAATCAGCCTTATCAGGGCCAGGATCTGGCCTCTGGTACATAGCATTAATAAATGGCTAATTCATTTTAGTTTTTAGGTAAAGTTTTTACAATTTTGGAAATTGCAGATGTCTCTCTCTCTCTCTCTTTTTTTTTTTTTTTTTTTTGAGGGAGGGGTTTACCACAGTGGACTTTTGAGGTTGAGAGTTGTGGGGAAATTCATCCCTCATCCTTTTGCCATTCTCACACTTGCGCAGCCTCTCTGAATGAGGTGAGGGGAATTCAGAAGTAGGCAACATGCTCTCTTGAGTTTCTTCTTCTGGTATCCAGAAACGTGTGTATATAAGCAGATGGAGAAAGCACTGCTTTTTCTCCTCTTTCCGTTCTGTACACCTTATCCATCCTGTGAAACTGAGCATCTTGAATCTCTCTTTTAACACCAGTGCTTTTCTTGTTCATATTGGTTGCCATTGTATGGTAGGTGATGATATAACTAGCTGTTATCTACTGAAGTAGAAAAACTGAAAGAAGTATTAGCAGCGTTTAAGGCTGTCTGCGCAATCTCTGTTTTTTTCCTATGCTTACGTGCCAGCTTTCGTACGATGCTGCAGACAGCTTGATACCTATCTGCTAATATCCTGGCAGAGGTTTATCCTAGATGGTAAAATATGTAATAGGCTAGTTAGGGTTTTCTACCTTCCATCTAGTGTTCTTGAAAGCTTTGGGGTCTGAACCACAATTACCGCCTCATGAGCTTGGCATGCTCCAATGCGTTGAGTAGATGGAAACGTCCACATCTAATATGCAGTGGGCTGATTGTCCCAACTATACAGTGAGGTGGTTTATCTGTCATTTTTGCTGCTTCTCAGTACGAATGTGTCCAGACTCAGGCTTCTAGGCAGAGTCCTGAGCATGGCCAGCAGGTAGAACAAACAATTTTTCTCATATCTGTTCTTAAGCTTGTGGAGTATAGGCCGCTTATGTTAACTTGAAATCTGTAGCGGACATCTATGGTGCGTAGTTTGAAGAAGGTAGGTTCCCTAAACTAAGAGATGGCTAGTATTTAATGTAAAATTGTGGTTTATGGCATGAGATAATGTAATATGCCATAATATCTCACTTATGTGAGCATGAAAAGGGAGATAGAAATAAGCAGTTGCAATTACATTTGAAGCATATCAGTATTCCTTTGGTGTAAAGTACATTTTGTGTGAAATGTTGATGACTGACCTACTTCCCTGGATTATTTCCACCTCTTAACCAGTTTTAATTGTGTGGTTTTTTTTGTTTTTTTTATTTTTTAAATCTAGGCTGATGTGGCTATTTTGGTTGTGGATGCTAGCAGAGGAGAGTTTGAAGCAGGGTTTGAGACTGGTGGACAAACTCGAGAACATGGATTATTAGTGCGTTCTCTTGGAGTGACACAGCTAGCTGTTGCAGTCAATAAAATGGACCAGGTAGGAGCTTAATTTTTCTATTTAATGGAAAGATTTCCTTCCAGGATTGTACTCTCTTAAGTTTAAAGATCAGTACTTGTGAAGTTTTTAAAAAAAAAAAAAAAAAAAAAAAAGTTCTCCCCCTCCCCTCCCCTCCCCTCCCCGTATTTAACCTTTACAGTATTTTTCTTTCTGTTTTATCAATATATTTTCAAAGCACATGGTAGGGTAGTTTGGATGCTAAAATGAGCAGGGGGACTCCCTCCTATGTGTGTGAGTGTCCCTCTGGATTTCAGAGAAGCAACTAACTGTGTGGCATCTGCAAGGTTGGTCATCCAAATCAAGGCCCCAAGAGCTTTCTTCAAACATGTAAACAATATTAAATACTACTACATTTTAGATTATTGCTTTGTCATGTATGATCTTGCTAAATCTGAATTTTGTGTGAATTAAAAAAAAAAAAGGTGCTATTCATGGCCAAATGAACGAATGGGCTTTGAAATTAATGTTTGGGATGTTTTCTGTCACTAGGTGTTAATAGGTATGGTCTCACTCCATTGAACTGTTGATATACCTGGAAGAATGGCATTTATAATATGCTTAGGTGCTGTGGGTAAAGAACACCACCGGGAACTGTAGATTTGATGACATGCATCTGTTTGTTCAGGTCTCAAGCTCACTGTAACACTGCATTTTTAAAAACCTAGATTTTTTTTCCTCATAATCTTTGTTCTATTTTAGGTCAATTGGCAACAGGAAAGATTTCAGGAAATTATTGGCAAACTTGGCCAATTTCTTAAGCAAGCTGGCTTTAAGGTAATGTAAATTTCTGAGATCTTTGTTTCGCTCAGGCTTTGAGGTGAGGGTAGAATGAGGTTTTTGTATTGTTTCAGCCAGGTTATTATTTTGTGTCACTTCCCTGCTGGTGGTATGTGCACGTAGTATAGTAGATTACCATCTTATTGGTAGGGTGTTTATTAAGCCTTGGATAAGGTCAGTCAGTTCTTGACACTCTTCGGTAATGTTTCCTCTTCTTTGTTTAGATCTGCTAAATCTTTTGGGTATTTGCCTTTTTTGTAGCCTGTTAGGATTGTTTTCTCCAAAGTAGAACAGACTATCTTAATGTTCAGAATTACATGAATTACCGTAGATGGTTTTATCAGAGCAAGTTTCTTTGTGAATTATGCACCAGTAAGAATATTATTTATTTGCCGTTCTTGAGTGTTCTTTTCATGTTTCCTCAGTTCAAATTATCTATTTCAAAAAGTTGTGGCCTTCCTGAAGTTGTTATGCTTGAACTAGCAATTCAAACTGGAATGTGCCTGTCAAATACAGAGTGGGAGTTTCTCGCTCAAATTCAGCTTCTAGTGAATAATGTTGTTATCACCATTTTTAGATATACCTGACTCCTTGCTTTGGTAAAGAGCAGAGCACTAGGATCAGCAAAGAGATAAACGGAATGGAGATGGATCAACCAAAGAATTTGCCTTCTCCATAAGGGGAAATACATAAGGGAGAATATAAATGTGCTAACTGTTCTTTCATACCTTGGAAGCATAATGTTGAAAAATGCATCCCTTATTTTTCTTAAGATGTTGTTATAATGTATGTTTAACTTCTATTTACTTTCTTAATTAGGAGTCTGATGTGGCTTATATCCCAACGAGTGGTCTTGGTGGAGAAAATCTAGTCACAAGGGGTCAGTCAGATGAACTCGCTAAGTGGTATAAAGGAAAGTGTTTGTTAGAGCAAATTGGTGAGTGCAGTTTTTCTAATTTAAAAACTAGCATGATATTGTAGTTGTGTGTATGCGCATGTCAAAACTTTTGGGGAAGAAGTGAGACAACGACTTTGGAATGCAGTATAGTTGATTTGCCCTTAAATGAGAAATTGTCGAGATAGTGCTTCAGTGTTCACTGCTAAGGCCAGCCCTCAGGAATCCCTGACCCAGAAGGCCAAGGAGAGAGTCTGGACAAAGGAAGACTTTCCCTTGGTTGAGGAGGATCGGGTTAGAGATTGTTTAGGCAAACTTGACACCCACAAGTCCATGGGCCCTGATGGGATGCACCCACAAGTGCTGAAGGAGCTGGCGGATGTTATTGCTAGGCCACTCTCGATCATCTTGGAAAGGTCCTGGAGATCAGGAGAGAGGGCTGAGGACTGGAAGAAAGCCAGCGTCACCCCAGTCTTCCAAAATGGCAAGAAGGAGGAGCCAGGAAACTACAGGCCTGTCAGCCTCACCTCCATCCCTGGAAAGGTGATGGAACAGCTCATCCTGGAGGTCATCACTAAGCATGTGGAGGACAAGAAGGTGATCAGGAGTAGTCAGCATGGATTCACCCAAGGGAAATCATGCTTGACCAATCTGATAGCCTTCTATGACGGAATGACTGGCTGGGTAGATGAGGGGAGAGCAGTGGATGTTGTCTTTCTGGACTTCAGCAAGGCTTTTGACACTGTCTCCCATCACATCCTTGTAAGTAAACTCAGGAAGTGTAGGCTAGATGAGTGGACGGTGAGGTGGATCGCAAACTGGCTGGATGGCCGAGCTCAGAGGGTTGTGGTCAGTGGCACAGAGTTTAGTTGGAGGCCTGTAGCTAGTGGTGT